GGGGGGATTCATAAAAACTGGAGCAGACAAATCTAGAGCAGTCGCCCATGGCAACCAATCAGCATCTCTCTTCAGTTTAGCTTTGAAAATAAAACAGGGAAGCTGATCGGTTGCCATGGACAACCGCTCCAGATGTTCTCTGCTGCAGTTTTTATGAATGCCTTCCAGTCTGTACATCATAAACACGTGCAGGAAATACGTATACAGGATCTCATGGTACTTTGAGCCACCCCAACTTCTATACCGGGCACGCTGGGACTTACAGTCCTCCAGACACCTGTATGCCGTTAGCATACACTGTATCGGCTCCTCTCCAACACCCGGGGAAAGTTACAATACACTCACCGCCATGCTGCTGTTGTTCTATCCGCACAAACACACAAGGTATTCTCAGCCTGTCTCTACCGCTTGGCGCGAAAATACCACGTGACCACGACAAGCGCGCGAAATTCTCTCCTCGTTTGCATAAGCCACGCCCTGTAGTTTAAACAATGCGGGGAGAGGAAGGGGCGGGGCTCGCCAGGCAGCGTGTTGATAGGTTCACGGGGTGGACGGGGAGGCGGGGTTTATGGTTAAGTAAGTGGTAGGCTGATTTTCGGAAACACAGAAAAGGCGAAATTATATTATTTTGACTTTTTTTAACTTTTATGTAATTCCAGCTCTTAATTTTTATTTCTATGATCATCTTGGGAAAGCTGATGGCAGGATAAGAGTAAAAGGAGGGCGATCCGGGCACCCAAGTGTGACAACAATGCTCCCCCATCCCTATGGGCTGCTTCAGCTTTGTCTTTGGGGTTGCTGGTGCTGCTGGTAGTCTTGCAATGCCAAATGGGACTTGTAGTGCCACAACAACTGGAGGACCAAGGTTGCCCACCCCTGAGTTAGGGTTTACATCAGGGGTGGGCGACTTCAGCACTCCAGCTAATGCGTCTGAGTTTGCTAGAAAATATGACTACTCTCCTCCAACAATGCGACATCTGCAAGCTCCCCCCGCTGGTGTCAACATCTTTGCCCGGGCTTCTTCTGCAATTGAGATCTTTGTGTGTTGAATGTAAAGTTCCGCTTTAAAATATAAATGTCTGGCATTTTACGAAGCTTCGGGTTGCTAAGGTCACATTATGTAGACACAGGAGGGAGGTGTAGGCCTAACATTACACGTTGTCAAGTCTCTCAATTACTCCCCACCTTCTCCATGACGTTCCCCTGTAGACCTTCCTGGAGGTAATGGATGGATTCCTCACCAGTCTCTCCCCGGGCACTGTCCTAGCTTCCAGCTCAGATTAGACCTGGGAATCTCAGCCCACATCTTAAAGGGCTTGTTCACACCAAAAGCGTGTGCGTTCCAGATCGGTAGCCGTTCTGGGGCGTGGCGGTGCATTGAATTCAATGGCAACTCTTCCACACACACCCCCACCCCATCCCCCGCCCGCAGTCCGATCAGACGCATGACAAAACTTTGCCAGCGTTGCGTTCCACAAGCTCACTCCCGGGATGGACTACAATCTCATGTTTAGTTTACTTATTTGTATTGAGATTGTAGTCCATTACAGGAGTGAGCTTGGAGCGTTGACTACTTCTTTACAACACACACAGGGACCATGGGGAACACAAGTAGCCCCCCTCCAGAAGGAAGGACAGTGTCAGCACCAATTCAGAGATGATTGGAGGATCTACAGCCCAGTGATACACAAATAAGATACATTGTTGTAAATAATTAAGGTAACTGAATGCATTTCTAAGATCCTGCGATGGACTACAATCTCATGTTTAGTTTACTCATTTGTATTGAGATTGTAGTCCATCCCAGATGTGAGCTTGGAGCGGAGGATACGTCCCTTTTACTACAAGTGACTGCACAGTGGTAGTTTGAGAAGTCTCTGATAGACATGCCTATGGTGGAGACGTCTTCACATGTGTGCAGATCTATTGCCTCGTGTAAAAGGCCGTATGAAAATACAACTACAGGTGAAACTCGAATCATTAGAATATTGTGCAAAGTTCATTTATTTCACTAATGCAACTTAAAAGGTGAAACTAATATATGAGAGAGACTCATTACATGCAAAGCAAGATAATTCAAGCCGTGATTTGTCATAATTGTGATGATTATGGCTTACAGCTCATGAGAACCCCAAATCCACAACCTCAAAAAAGTAGATTATTACATGCAATCAATAAAACAAGGATTGTACATAGAACAATATCAGACCTCTGAAAAGTACAAGCATGCATATGAACTCAGTACTTGGTTTGGGCCCCTTTTGCAGAACTTACTGCAATTACTTTTGCACGATATTCTAATTATTCGAGTTTCACCTGTAACATGCAGGATCTTGCTGGCAGCAGGATTCCACATGAACATTGTACACATGTAGCTGTTATGCAATGTTTCCATGTGTATAGTGCAATGGTACCCTATTGGTTGCTACTAGGACACCAGGATGCTCATGCCAACTGCATCCTAGCAACAAAGGGCTCTAGAGACCTCAATCTGTCTGCATCCTAGCAACAAAGGGCTCTAGGCACCTCAATCCGTCTGCATCCTAGCAACCTATGCTTGGTGTCTCCTGCTGCCTAGAATTCTTTGTTGCTAGGACACAGGCAGCTCCAATAGAGTGTAGTTACATTGTAGACATGTAAATACCGGCACAAACATTTACATGCGTAGTGTGTAAAATATTGTCTGTGTGCAGGACCACAGATGTAGATGTTTCTCATTTGATTTGACAGATCTCAATGCAGCGCAAGTTTATTGATCATTATCCTCTTTGTATGTGTGAAGGGGGGGGGGGGTAAATAAGCCAATACACCTTCATTCGGGGAAAAAAAATTGTACTAATAAAAACGCAGAAAAATAAATATATATATTTGTATTTAGTCTATGAACATATTTTCATGGTATATCCGGCAGCGTACTGCATACGTGTGTGCTAATTCCCGATCTCCCTGTCGCGGACACGGAGCTCTGGGATCGGATGGTACACGCACGGCGCTGGTTACAATGTATCATCATCAGCAATGTTTGTGCTGGTCACGTGTCCTGCTCTGGGATCTGTCATCCGGAAGCGGCCTCATCCATCGGTCGGAGCTCGGCAGGACTGTTGGAGGAGCGTCGAGTCATCGATCAGCGGTCGGAGACGATCTCAGGCATACAACGAGGAGGGGGGCGGATA